AATAGTATTAGTTTACTATTTAGTATTAAAAGTTTAGTTATTTTTTATAACTACTATAAATTCAAACCAGTAAACAATGAGTACCGTTTCCACTCCAACCGGGACTTTCAATTCCTGAGCAATTATGCACTTCCGCTCATCACGATCATCAGATGGCTCTTCGTCAGAAAGAGGAGGTTTTCTGATGAGTACAGCGGGGCTTTCGTAGCTGTAATCAAGCGCAAATTCGACACCCCGAATTCCATGACTGGCTTGATAGCGTTTCATTTCTTCCTCTAAAGATGACAATGCACAAACGCTGCACAGAATAAATTACTTCAGATTTTTTAGTCTAGATCTTACCTAGGAATAACAGTCTTTCAGCAGGGTCAGACACCATATCTCGATAGCGTTCTTCGTTCAACTGCTTTTCTAGTTCTATTTCCTCAGCGCTTAGGGCCGCCGGTTCTGCAGACGAGCCGCAGTTTAGCTCCGCGTCGTACTGTCTGAGGTCGGTGAGGTGGAGGCGACAGTCATACCTGAAAAGGGCAAAAGGTGAATTTAAAGGAAACACGAAACTAACATCAGAATGAGTCACATAAATTCAAGTCGTACTTACGGTTGAACACCTTACCAGCCACATACGCATAAACATACGCCTGTGACTTTACGCGCTCGCACCGGAACTGGTAGCGGGCGGCAAGTGCAAGAAATATTAAGACTGACGCCCAAAATGGGACCATCGCCACTGGAGGCCAACCTATAAAAAATAGACTGAACACGTGGCGAAAACGCAGCAACAGCTGAACAGTTAACGATGAGGCTCTGAAGAGAGGCTGTCGATTTTACCTTCGAGAATCTGCCCCCGTAAAGATAGGTCTCCTGCCGTCAAGCTGCGTAAGCCTGTCAGAAATCAGGAAAAAACACTGGGTCATGAACCCACGGAAAAGGCCAGCTAGGTTTAAGTCAAACCACCGATGAGCGTGTCAAAAAAAACATTTGAGAAACCATGTCTGTTTCAGCGACTTGCGGAGAAAACCTTAAACAGCCTACCGATAGTACTTCCTACAGCATTGTGCCAAATGTTTAAAATCATTAGTGTAAATTTGTTTTTTTATAAAAGACAATTTTTTTAAAAGTTGTAACCGTAATAACAATCAGCTGCTCGATTTATTTTGCAGTCTTACAAGTTGGCTCAATCTGATTCATTTTCGACGCTCGAAGTGAAAATGAACTATTAGAAAAGCGAAAAACTAGGAGAAGTGAGCCAAATACATGACGGCATAATGCTATAGACAGCAAACCCAGGAGCAGAGCAATGACAGTTTCTGTCAACAGTCTCAGGTGGGATAATGGACCTAATCGCAAAGAGGGTATATAGTTGTATTTGAAATCAATACAAAACAGAAAAATGGAACTCATGCCTGTAGGAAAAGATGTCAGTTTTGAGGCTATAACAGAAAAGGGGGTGCGAACAAAAGCATATTAATCAGATGTCGAATGTTTAACTGAAACCGTTTTTACATTAAACTTTTGTAGCTTTCGAAATAATCCTGTCACGCCTGCTTGTGGCCTCGTCTCAAAATTTTAAGCCCTTTCAAATCGAAAATCGACCCATACCTTTGGAAAACTTGAAAAAGCAACAGCTCTTCTACCAGCAACAATTATATTACAATTATATTACTAGTCTTGCATGATCTGCAACAGATAGTTCTAAAATCTATCTGAAATGGTTAACATGTCGACTCCACATTAAAAACATATGCAATAAGGAAACCGCCCTAGTACCAATAACATAATCTGTACAGTGCTAAACTAAAAATGATATCTCTGTAACCTACACAGCACAGTGATAACTTTCTGTCTTAAAATACACACGACCTTTATCAAACAATAAATGATATTCGCGTCTATTTCTATCACTGCCAAAAAGTCGCAGTGAATGCGACAGACCATATTTGCTTGTACACTGCTCTATGAAATGAAGAATCAAGGCGCTGAGGAAAAACCAATCTCCATCATGGAAATCACTTCCTTTCCTGCCATTCGTTTTAATAGCCGGCTGTTTTGATTCACGGATTGTGACTGCATTTAACAGGTTCCTGATTTTGAAAACAAACACACGTCTGAAGTCACGAAGGTTAAACCATGTTCATTTAAAAAAATACGTATCATCATCGTCAACGTAATGATCATCATAATAACATATGTTATGAGTGATATTAGCTTAATAACGATGCATATTACAGAAATCACAATTATACTTTTAATTACGTTTTTCACCTTATAACCGTAATGATTGTCATCATTAAAAAGACTATCATGGTGGTAACCAGCTGGCGGTGACAAAGATGAACATGAACACTATCATTATCACATGAGACATTTTTTCACTGTCATCACAATAGGCATTACGATCATCGTCACTATGCTAATGATGATAAATCTGATCATAACTGTTAGCGCCATCATCGCAATAATGGGCAACATGATCTCCACTACAGTGACTATAGTGATGAAGCTCCGTTTGGTGATGATTGCCAGGAGTAACGTAAAATGACTATTTAGCCATTTCTCAAAAATGAACAAATTATGACACGATAAGTGATGATCCACAGGTAGCAGTAGTGCATAACAACTACACTATCTGCTAACTTAAGAATGTTTTATAAAAGCTTAATTTATCTAATTCTTTCTTCGGGAAGCAAAAAGGAGCCAGTATAAACTGTTACAATGCACATAACTTGTGGAGAAATGAAAAACAGTTTTTTGGATTACATCTCAACTGTGACTTGCTTAGTTTCAACTTCGAATATTAAACGCAATCGTCTCCCATGGAAAGGTACCTTCCTGTTGCTGAAAAGTTGGTCAACATACATGAAACGACGCCATAGCGCAACTTTACAAAGTGTGTATAGAAATATCTTGCCTGTCCTTTATGTTGTTTCGCACGGCGCCTTATGAACGGCAGCAATTTCTGATGGACAATGTTTATACACCGACGTCGAGCATTGAGGACGGCATAAGGAATATTATGCAATGAATTGTAACCTTTTGCGGCGAGGACGATCATCTGAGATTCGAGTAACGTTTCAGACAGCATATGAACTGTATGCAGAGCTACAGTGGTCGGGTACACCGAAATCTGATTTCTGAATCTTTGATTTGTTAAAGGAATGACTAATGTAATTCAGTATTCTCAAAGTATGCCTATGCAGATGAGACACATTAGTCCTGTCTGGGGTTGTCTGTAAGACAAACTGAATCAGACACAGCTTGGCGGTTAAATAGAAGACCAACGAATAATAAAATCTGAAGTAGCTGAAACAGAACAAAATTCAGGCAGGCATCCGAATCACTGATACGAAATCGAGCATTAGGAATACTAACGACAGTGTATAAGAATAGTGATAAAGTACACACGGCAATGAAGAGTACTCATCTAGACAACCAGTCATTATCTAGGCCTTTTTATCAACCAGGTCAATCAGGATATATAGAACAATCGAACAGTGGTTGTGCAAATGTACCTGAGTGACAGAGACTTGCAGGAAGATGAAGCGCAAACTTAAATTCGGTTTTGTTCTTTGCACGTTATGAAAATATCGCGACATCCTGCCAATTCACTGAATTTACACTGGGTAGCAGCGTCGACAACTTTCTTCTAGTAATTTAAGGGACAGTTTGAGCAGGCCAAAAATCGATGATAATTTAGCACCTCATAGCATCGGCTCAAAACAGTACCACTGTCAGTAACTCTAGCAAATAAATTTTTACTCTTTTTCTTTTTGAAGTCGCAGCCTACAAGACTATTTCAAATTTTGTCTACACGTCAAGACTTCTGGATGTTCACAAAAAGAGGGCGCATCTCCCGATCCAGTCATCGTTCCGCCGCTAACTACAAAACTTTCCCATCCAGAGGACATCATCATTGTCGTAACTAACATGTCTGACTAGCAAAAGATGAATATTTTCAATAAAAGTCATTTTTGTTATTGGCAGAGCGCAGTCAATATGCAGCCATCACAATGTCGTAGATTTTAAAATCATTTTCTATTTATGCGACAGTTTGTGCAAGTATACTCTATCCTCCAGGGAGAT